TTTATATTGAAGCATCTCCTTTCGTTAATAATGTAGGCGAAGATCAACTGAACGGAAAACCTAAACTTCATCATTTACAGAGGTGGGCATAACAACGTTTTGGAAGCCCAAACTAATCTTAATCTTTTTTTTTTTTAACAACGAGAGCCGGCCAAGCAAACCTGTCTAATCATGGAGGAACTAAACAGAAATCTATTTCTTTCCTCTGGTCTAAGTATAATATATACTCCAAATATTGAAATACATCGTCATCGTGTAAGATTCAATATTTCGACATTGATTATGCCATAGACATGTCATCATCAGGAATGAAAAATTATCCATATTTGCAAGTTTATATACAACAAATACCAAAGTGTATATAACATAAAGCTTGTGTTTCAATACAGTTCGTTCGTCTAGATAAGGTGCTATTGTACTTATTTCGTTATCAGGAGAGTTTGTTAAATGCGTGGTCAATTCCTACAGAGAAGTATGCATTTCAGTTACTCAAAAAAGGCTCGTTGGTCTAGTGGCATGATTCTGGTTGTGTCATGATTCTCGCAATGGTTTTGTAATATTTTAATATTCTACATTAGCTGGCGATAGTAGTTACATAAAGCTGTGATGCAATTGAGCGTTCTAGCTAGCGTTGATTTTCTTTTTACACACAAGCTGTTTGTGTTTCTACATTAGCGGGGAGTTTTACTACATAAGCTTTGGAGTGTGCCATATACATTAACGGTTGTTTACTACACTGTTGTTTTCTACATTAGCGGTTGTAACAATCATTCATGCCGTATCATCCATGTGGAAATTGACATGCACTTTTGTGCTACGTCATTCGTACGCTGGGAGAAGTGATTGGCAACGACGATGTTAGAGATAGCGAATACTGCCAATGTTCAAACCAGACGAAATGCTAACTGATAAAGCTATATCGACTGCAGCTTGAGCACGTAAACCTGATTTGCAGGCCTCTTGATAAATTAACTTTAATACAAGCTCATTATCGTACTTTTTAAGATAATCACAATATCAATAAAAAAGAAATAATTTTAATTAAAAGAAAGATTTCTAGAATAGTATACAATTATCATTATAGAGTTATTATTATACTGTCTTAACTGAGATTAATCAGTGGACCTTTCGGTCATTGACAGTTTATTCACATTATTATTATAAGGCCCATCATTAACCAAAAAATAAGGAATTAGCCAATACGCAGAGTAAGGCCTATTTTCAATATATTTTATGAACTTAATACATCTTTGTGTATCATTTGATCGAATTTCATACCATTAAATTGAAAATATTCATTTAAAAAAGAGTACGCTGCGAGCAGGGTTCGAACCTGCGCGGGAAGATCCCATTGGATTTCGAGTCCAACGCCTTAACCACTCGGCCATCACAGCTGCACGCACTATGGAAGATCATACATGAAAGCTTTACCCCTATTTCTGTGTGCAGTCACATGAATAGGAATAAGCAGAATAACTCAAATCACGCACATTATTATACATAACTTTGTACACAGCAGGACATAAAAATGGTTCTGAGGGCCAAACTGAATTTCGATTTTTTGAATTCTTCCACTTATGTCAGTTGTGTCATAATTTTACATTTATTCTAAATTTTGATAGAAAATATGTGTTGATCATTAACATTTGGACCCCATTAGAGATAGGTTGCCATTTGGAGACTTTTGTGGGTTATCCGGGCGATCTACTTTACCTTTTTCGTAAAATAGTTAACAATTGTTTATTTATCCGTTCATCGTTATTTTAATTTCTATTTTATTTCTTTCCTTTCATGTTGATTTGTATTAATTGTTTGCCGAATAAAGAAATAAATAATAAATTGTATATATAAAATCTAACTTTAAAAGTTTTACCTACAAAAACAATATTATTTATTTTAAGTTAATCGTAATGAAAATCTTAAAAGCCTGAATGAAAGAAGTGTTGAAATGACACCTGTAGGCCACATTATTTCTAATATTATACTAAAGAATATTGTCGATGGCAAAGCATACTTACCGGTAGGCTCAATTTCCGTCGGAAGGTTTCAAGATGATAAAAGTTTCATTGGACTAAATTCTTACTTATGTTAAACACATGCTTACCTAAGATTATACTGATACTGGTTTCAAATATCAGTCAAGTAGTTAAAAATCACCTAAAATCACCTTATTTTGCGAATTAGCGCCACTCAACTGATCCTCGAGTCCCCCTCCAACTTCACCTTTGTAGAGGTATCTACAATATGCGCTATATAAGTCGACAATTATTATTATTAAAAATAAATCTTAAAACATGTGAAGGTGTTTGAATATTAACCTCAATACTAAGTTGATTGTTGTGATTTTGATTAACATAAATCATGTATATTGCATCTGGTATTCAAACTATTCTTCTGTGCAATGTACTTTGGTTATCCCTATTATACGCTGTTTAATAAGAGATATAAAATGTACATTAAATACAAAATCTATTAAAAAAAAAAAAGTTAGGGCTCGTCCGGGAATTAAACCCGGGGCCTCTCGCACCCAAAGCGAGAATCATGCCACTAGACCAACGAGCCTTACTCGGTTAAGCCAACTTCATACTCCGCTCCGCTGAACTACCTGATGGCAAACAATGACCTCATTGTTGAAACACATTGATTAAAAGTTAGTAGACTAATTTGCATATTTATTATAATCAGAAAACATTTATAATACAGAATCATTGGTGTTATATTTATACTTGAAACGATATACGCTTATAAAAACTAACTTTAAAAGATTTTCGTAATGAAAATTTTAAAAGCCAGAAGAAAAGAAGTATTGAAATGACACCTGTAGGCCACAGTATTTCTAATATTATACTATAGAATATTGTTGATGGCCTAACATACTTACCTGGCACAGGAGAGACTTTGATCAAGAAGGAATGTCCTCCCAAGGTGAGGCCTCGGCATTGCACTTGGCTGAGGTTGACCCTTGCGATTCCCCCAAATGTGGGGAACTCGGGTGTATAATTTATGGTAGCGGGGGACTGCGTTCGCGCTAACCCCTAACAAGAATTGAAAGATAGAATTAATACCGTATGTACACACTTTACAAATAGTATTTCTGTTTGCTTGAATGAGGTTATGCGGGTACAGAAAAAAAAGATATTTAATATCATTTCAAGTATAAATATAACACCAATGATTCTGTATTAGAAATGTTTTCTGACTATAATAAATATGCAAATTAGTCTACTAACTTTTATTCAACGTGTTTCAACAATGAGGTCATTGTTTGCCATCATGTAGTAGCCTACAATACGCCTAAAAGCTATATTGATATACGTAAAACTATAATAAACTTGAAAATCTCCCCACCCCAAAGAAACTCTTACATATTTAGTAAGCAATTACATTTTTTAACGATTTTAAGTTGATTATAGAATATATTTTATACAAATACGAATAAAGAACAACATTCGATATAAAATATAGGCAAATTCTCATTAATAGCGAAATAACCAAATATATCAAATATTTTCAACGGTGTACGTTTTCTGTACCCGCATAACCTCATTCAAGCAAACAGAAATATTATTTGTAAAGTGTATACATATTAATTCTATTTTTCAATTATTGTTAGGGGTTAGCGCGAACGCAGTCCCCCGCTACCATAAATTATACACCCGAGTTCCCCACATTTGGGGGAATCGCAAGGGTCAACCTCAGCCAAGTGCAATGCCGAGGCCT